GCCGTCCAACTCCAGCTCCTTCTTCCCCGCCAGTGCTGATTCGCATTTTGCAAAGGACTGGAGCACTAGCTAGACTGTTCGACCCTGTCGCACGAGAGCTTCCTCGCCGAGAAAGGCCAGCGCTACTTGCAAGTCGAACTTCTCAAGCCCGCACGCACTTGTTTGCACTCCAGTAATCCCCGGTACGACTCGAACCGGCGAAACGTATGGAGCTTTGCCCTTGGGTCCTAGCCACTTGCCACTACTTGGACCACCAGACTCTCCATCGACGCTGCCTGCATTTTCATGCTCGACTATCAATTATCCTTGGTGGCCTCTGCTAGGCTAAGCAACTCCATCTTGAAACGCTCCGTTGTTGAGGGGCACAACACGAACAGACCGATTTGGATTTGTCCTTGTCCCATCAACCGCATTGCAGACGGCCGGCTGGACGACTAGACCAGGTTGAACAGGGACAAGAACCCGTCAGATCAATCACCCATCGCCAAGCTCACCTTGGCGAATCCACGAGCCATTGCGCCCAGTGTCGGGACGGCAAAAAGGCTCTATTGCGTCAGCTGCGAGCGTAAGTCCTGTGAATCCCAGTTGCATCATGAGCACATCCCACACTTCCCCCGACCTATTTTCGCCATTTCTGTGCAACGCATATGCAAGCATTCCGCACATGCGCGTCTGTAGTTCTTCGCAAGGGGCGCTCTGCCTGTTTATTGTTGACCAGAATTGGGACTTGGCCGTCATTTTGTCCTTCCGCACAGCGGGCGCATTCGCCCTGTACTTCTTGTCCTAGCCAACACCACACCAGTTAACGGGCTGCTAACGCGAGTGTTTACCACATAGCTTGTGCGCTATTTCGATAAACTTCGCCCTCGGCTGTCTCGTTCTGACCTTTCTGTATCTTCGGTCGCTCACCTTCCCACCAAGCAGCACCAAAGCACTACCTCTCAGGCGTGCTACGCCGTATTTCCCATTCACACGCCAATACACCACCCTTGTATTCCGAGACCGACGCAGCAATCGTCACCAAACCTCAGGGACCGGCACGACTCGGAACTCAGAAACGCTACAGATCACCACCACAAACTGCATCTCAAAACGCTTAACAGTTCTCGACCAAGAATCATTGACAGCTTGGCCTCTCGCGCCTTAATCACTCATACTAAACTCGACTGATGATGTGTCGTCTTTTGGTCTTCGCAGGTACCTGCACGAGGTGCGGCGAGTCACAAACGTGGGATGATCTAGGCCAGCAACTGGCCTGTTTACAAGCCAAAAACGCAGGATGCTTTGGCCAATGTGATCCAGGCATCTATGCCGAGCAACACCCATTCGATCAGGAATGTGATCGATGCACCGAAGAGGACGAAGGCATAGGTGACATCAGCGATGACACCTTCATGACTCCCGAGAAACGGGCCGCTGAAACCGACGTAAAAAGTCATCGCAAGAAGCAAAAGGTTTGAGGTGCAATTCCGATCATATGATCGTACGTCCAGGGCTCAGACCCAGGAAATGCGAAAGCAGGGCCGGGAGCAATCCGGTTGTCAAGCATTTCATCATGGGCAATCATGACTGCACCCTTACGAAGTTACGTGTCCACGTATCTATGCCGCTTTGTCTTCTCCTCTTTTTGTTTATTGGTACATTATTTATCTCTTCGTTTATCAAGTCCCCATCGATGCGATTTTTTTTTTTTGGCAAAACCAAGCCTCCTTTTTTTTCCAAGAGCGGTTTTTTATATTCGGCCAACGGCACAGGATTGTTGGTTATTAATCATTTCATGATGGCTTATCTAGGCATGGCGACGGAGTTGGCGGTTAGCCGAGTGGAAAACTGTTTACAGGCGTTGGCGCTTAGTGAGAACACGGTTTTAATGGGCCACCTCGGAATAATTGTCCCTTTTTTGTGTTTTACTGGAATAGGTAGATATGGAGGAATAAACTCGCAGTGTCGGAAATCTAATAATCACAGTATGGTGAAGGAAGTGAGCATATTGTATTCGGATGAGACATAACGTGATCCGTGGCAAAAGGGGCCGGAGAGAAGTGATGGGCCGACATTTAAAGCCCCAACTCATTTAAGAAACGTTGGCCATTTTCCATGAACGACAAAAGTAGGGAGCCTAGTTTCAAATCATCTGAACGTGAGTTATATACATACACTGCTCCTGCCACGGTATGCCGTCTTAACAGCCTCTACTCTCCGACAACCCCAACCAGAACTTCGACGAAGTTGTAGTGCGACAGGTTGTAATTATGAGCCGCTCGATGGTGGTTGTTGATATCCCGTTGGTGGCTCGTCCGACCATGAATTTTGTATGGCTTTCCAGTAGCGCTCTGGCTCTGCCCTCATGATGTCCACATGCTTGGCACCCACAAACTTTTCCAGTCTGATAGTAAAGCCAGCCTCCTTGGCCTTTCGGGCATTATCTTCCACATCCTGCCACAGGATTAAGTCGTCTTCTGTTCCATATAGATATGTCCGCCTCTCTTCTCTTGCTAACAGTCCTGGAGATCTGAGCGCTCGGGCATTTCGATTTTGAATAGCCGGAAGTCGGCGGAGGAAGTGGTACAAGCAGACCATGGCGATAATGGAGTGCACAACGGGACCAGTCCACCACGGAAGCATTTGCATCAGGGCGTTGTAGGAGCTCATCCACCGAAAATACCCCGGACAAGAGTCGAACACTAGCACATATCGTGGTAATACTGGTGTGCCGTGTGGTTGTCCGCCGCGGAGCATGCTGCGGAGACAACTGGCTGTGTGGATGCCGCCGTTTGAGAACATTTGGATAAGCATCTTTGGTGACGTATCACCGGCTTCGTCTGCTTTTTGTTGGCGCTCCGACATGTTGCGAAGGTAGGGCAGGGCGGGAGAGAGGTCGCGCCGTGTGCGCCAAGGGAACACGACATGAGTGAGGGGACATTGCGCGATGAGGATTCGTGATGATGGGTAGATTTTCCGATATTGTAGTGCATATTTCGATATGTGGACTTGTCGTGCGCCCATCCATGATAGGATGAGGATGAGTTGAGGCTCTTTTCCCGAAGTTGGTGGTTCATGATGAGGGTCGTAGTACGAAACGGCTGGGCTGAGGTTCTGCATCCATGACAGGGCTTCTTTGTCGGCGGCTTTAGAAGAGGCGCCAGGCTTTGGATTTAGTGACATTTTCTGCTCATCCACTTTTCTTGTCGTGAATCAGATTATTTCTTTGGGTTGCTGTCCTAATATGATGATGGTATTGTTATGAAGCAGAGCGTTGAGCGGTGTACGGCTGATGGGAACACTGCCCGTTATCATGACATTCACGGAGAGAGAGAGAGAAAAGGGTCAAGTTGCAGACTAGTCAATGATTATTACAGCTAGGATCAAGTCCTTGTGATTCTTCGTCATAGCGGCGGGCCGAGGCTCCGGAGTTCCGTCCTGGAAGCTCAGTGGGCGAGAGCTCCAGACGATTTCTCCAGTCGGCATTTTGGGGTAGCAGCGTTTCCCCGCGCTACCGTTTATCATTGGAGTGTGGGGAAGAATGCGCACGCCCAAGGAATTTGTTTGCTGGGTTTGGTTTTCGATGACCTCTGGAGCCAAGCTGTGACATTTCGGTCCCTGTCAGCCATGTGGCTCATGCCCAAAGGCGCAGATAAGAGTGACTGACAGGTGTGGTAGCGCATAACTGACTACCTACCTAATAAGTACAGAATAGGTACTAGGTAGACAGCTTCCCCTGAGGTTGGATTTGCAGTCTGTGGTTACGCAGAGGTGCTGGGAATCGGCACACCGTTATGACATGTTTAGACGTTGCATCTATGCCGTTGAAGCCGACCACATGCGCCCATCGCCCATCAGACCGAGCCTTTGTCAAGGATGAAGGGCAAACAGTGCCCATGACACAAATTTCCGTATACGAGCTTGTAGGCCCTCCTGTTGTTGAATGATGGCACAGAGCCGAGATTGTCGTTTTGTTTACCGACATCTTGTAAAACCACAAGTCGGTGTTCATGATGCAGCAGGGATATGCAGGCCAAAGTGCCGTGTTACGTGGCCCTTGGCTTGTCTAGTGGTATCAACCTGGATACATGGGACGGTAAATGTCATGCCAATTCGTAGCCCCATGCAACTAAATTGTAGCTCGCAATTGGCTTCCGCTCGGTCTTGTGTCTACCAAGTGCAAGGCTATATACAAGTAAACGAAGCTTCAGATGTCTGATGAGAGTATAGTATACATGGTACGTACTTGTATTTCATCGCCATATCCTGGTTCTGCGCCTAGGTAGTTACCAATGACGCAGGCGACCAACTTTGTTTCCTCGGCGAAATTAGCCTCCAAACAATAATGATCATTGTTTTCCCGTCACGTCGTATGGAGCACCATCGGGAGTTTGAGTAGAGTAACTCTGGAGACTATAGTTCCAAGGAACTATCCTTCGCTTGCCTCCCGAGATTGTTTGAGGTCTCGTGCGTACAGATGACTAGATATGTATCAGCCATGAAGACTTGCGTAACGACATGAACCACGCCGTGTCAGAAAGTGAAGAAATACCGCATCCAAAGAGAGCTTTCCTACAATTTTGGGGCCCAAAAAATTGGGGCCATGCTTCGGTAGAATAATTGTCTAGGATTCTCTCCTCCCTCCCGTTCAGCAAACTTCGAATGTTGTTTCGAGCTCGCAGACGGCGTTAGAAACGGAAGGCGCAAACCAGCAGCCTTGGCTCTTCAGACTACTGTGTCCCGCCTGCTGGATGTTTTACGACTTGATCCTATCGGACCACTATCATGCGGCAGAGCATTCAATGCTGTAGCTGTCAATAAAGCTCAGTCGTCAATTGTCATTCCCCATCCTTCATCACTCCGATTCTGTGTTCATTTGTACTTAAGTCTTCTTTGTCTCCATCCAGATATCGGGTGCTTCTTCGGCCACTATCTTGTCCACTAAATAAAGAAGTACCTTGTTCTTTGACCATCCCAGACACATTCCCTGTTTCCCATCGATAGATCCAGTCGCCATCATGGTGCTGGCCAGATTCTTTCTTTATATTGCCGGGGCCAGACTTGCTGTGACAGCACCAAATGCCGCAGTACAGCCACCAAGTACCTCCGAATGGGACTTGTCTAAACCATTGAATGGGTTTACCTTCCAGCGAGCCAAGGCGAGGTCTGCTCCTGCAATTGACAAGCCGGCTCTGCTTTATTCCAGGATTACCAGCATCAAGGGCTCATCAAGCAATCAAAATGCGGTTTCAAGCCTCGTGCAAATTTTGCAAACACCCCCTTCACACGGCCAGCACACATATCAAAACATCAGCACCACCGGAAACTTATCGACTCAATACGCCATTCAATGCGGATGGGACGGTGCTCCAGTGTGGTTGCTTCTCGACACAGGAAGCGCGGACACATGGGCAGTTCAAACCGGTTTCGAATGCCATGACTCTCATGGTGCGAAACATAATCAGGCCGCATGTGCTTTTGGGAACCCCCATGTAAAGAAATTTCAAAACGGTCCCATTGATGGTCTTCACTTCTATTTGAAATATGGCTCTGGCGAGAAAGTCTTCGGCCCCATGGGTTACGCTGATATCTCTTGTGGAGGTGTTTCTGTCCCGAGACAACAAGCTGGGCTCGCTAACTATACCTATTGGCACGGTAATAACCTTACGGTCGGCATATTGGGTCTTGCATACCCATCCATTACAAGTGCTTTCTATGGGGAGATTGGACAAGAAGCTGCCTGGAATGCCATCCAATATGTACCTTTCCTGACAAATGCTATCATGCAAGGAAGCATAGATCCGGTTTTCAGTGTTGCTCTGGCCAAGAACTCTTCGAATGGAATTATTGCCTGGGGTGGCTTGCCGCGAGTCGAGAGAGCAAGTGATATCTACGCCGAGACTGACCTAATCATTGTAAGTGGTGCCCGCCTGGAGGTGTACAGACCAAGATTGGTGGTTGAGACAACCTCACCCAGAGGTGCTAACAAAGGTTAATATTAGGCAAATCTCGTCGGATCAGCGGAAACGTCATGGAGATACTCTTTCTACACTATTATCCCTGATGGTATAATCTGGGGCCAAAGGATGGATAAAACTAAATTCCCATACATTGTGGATACGGGGACGACAATGAACTATCTTCCGCCTCGTAAGTCTACCACATTTCACCAGAAATGTCCTCAATTGCAAAGACATGGCTAAATATGCTGACAAATTTCGAAAAGCCTTGGCCGAGGCTGTCGCCAATGCTTTCCAGCCTCGTGCAGTGTACTTGTATCAATGGGGCTCTTACTTTGCTCCGTGCGATGCAGTACCTCCAAGCTTTGCCGTTGTAATATCAGGGGTTGAGTTTTGGCTGAACCCTGCGGACATGATCTACCGCGACCTGGTCGATCCTATGACCGGCTACTGTGCCGTTGCTATCACCAGTGGCGGGTCGGGGCCGTACATCTTGGGGGACGTGTTTCTGCAAAATGTTGTGGCCGTATTCGACATTGGAGGAGCACAAATGCGCTTCTACCGTAGGGCGTGATATGGATGCGGGTGTTGAGCTTGTATGGGTGCTATTTGGGTTGACGGGCTCGTGAAGATGTCTAATTCCAGTCTGGTTCCAAGCCTGCGGGGGATATTGACCCTACATGTCACCAACTGCGCTCCTTTTCAGTCAGAAAGTATAATCATTTTGTACCCATATCAAGTGAAAAATGACGAATAAGACTGTTAGAGATAGAAAATACTGGGTGCTGGCTCAAAAAGTAATGGCACGGTTTGTTCTGTCGAAACTCGTTGCGCAGCTGCATCGCCAGTTTTAATCGGCACAGACGGCGGCAACTGTGAAGCCAACCGTGAGATCCGATGGCGCAGGGAGATTCGGAGGGTAATCTGCTTCGGCCCGCTGCTTATCGGCTGGCGATCAACCAAAGATAGTAAAGCCCCACCCTCACCAAAGGCTTGGCTGGCCGATGGCGCATACAATCAACGGCTGAAGTGGCCAGGTCGAGGGAAAACCCAGCCAAGACAATATTATCAACACGGATTGTGCACACGCACACTCAAGCTTCATTACTTGCGTCTGCGCGCACTGGGGTCTCAATCGTAACCATCCTTCCCCAGAGAAGCAAACCATCAACAATAACCCAGACTCAGCTCGGCAAGCAGTCAGTCGACAGCCCGACCTCACCAAGCTCCTCGAGTCACCGACGTCTCAATCACAACCATGAGGGGTGTTGCGGCAGGACCGCCATCGCCAAAGGCTTCACCCTCTGGTCGGGCTCGCGCCAACACGTGGAACTTTAGCAAGGTAAGTGTGTGACCGTCTTGTATATTGTGTCAATTTTCTCTCCATGTCATGAATATCCTGCCACGGCAAGCGCCGTTTCATCGCATGCCCTCGATGTCGATGCACTGCGCGTTCCTGAAGGTGTCGTGGACCACCACTTGTATGAAGGCATTCTCGAGTGAGGCACGGAGTACTGCCGCTCCAGCCCCTTGCTGCATAGCTGCTGCATAGCTCCATCGGCGGTGAGCAAAGCATTCAGGCTACAGCTTAACAGCGGTTTTGCTTAGCCTGTTGGTGGTCAAGGTACCACTCGCACCCAACTTGCTTGCCGCCTTCATTCTCTACTCTAGAATTGAGCGGCTCGTATTAGCAAAACGAAACGGTACCGCCTATCAGTCAACAATCCAAGCATCGATTCCGAACATGTGCCATGAGACCTGAATCGAAGCGCGTTTGACACGATGGTGACTGGGAGTTTCTCCCGAGCTGAGTGGTAATGGGATGAACCTGGAGCAAAGCCAAAGGCGGAGTACATACATATGTACATATCACACCCGTCGGACAGTCCCGGAGCCAGATCCCCTGGTTGGTTCGTGTACATTGATGGTGTTGGCCTCGCCTGGTTCCTGCAGCAAGAATCAGCCAAATGGGAAGCCTTTTCGCCTAGCCAACCGGGGGGAGGCGGCTAGATCAAACGGACGACAGGGCCCGGCTCCGTGGCCAGACCAACGTCACGTCTGACCCGGTTCTTTGCATTCAACAGCAGGTATAAGAAGGTGTACTTCAAGCCAGGGATTAGCATGGCCTCACCGACATCCCATGCGCCTGGAATTCCGCAGAAGTCCTTGTTTAGATACCCTATCTTGCTTCCCAGCTTGGGTCATGATGGGGTACCGGGACGACTCGGGCTGACAGCAAGCATGAGTGGAGAAGGCAAAGCTGAAGGTGTTGCGGTATGTCGGTCGACTCGCGGTGCCTGACATAGGTTTGGAGTGCCATGTTTTACCCGCCACCAAACCACCCCACCAAGCGGCCAGAAACACCACCATTGTATCCCTCGGCTCAGTCGACAATATCTACTGGGTGAGGACGAGAGGGAACGGCTCTTGTACGAGGGCCAATGTGCTGTCCGTCACTAGAAACAGGGAAAGCGAGGCGGAAGAACGCAAATCGGCTGTGGGGTGCCGGCCCTTATTTCCTCCTGGACCTCAAGATGTCTCAACTCGAACAAAATTGCGTATAGTCGGGGTGTTCACATCGCTGGATGGGCCGTTGAGCGCGACGGGCACCAGATGGCATTTTGCATTACCCTCCTTCTTTCTTTCTTTTTTTTTTTTTTGGAAGAAAGAGAAGACTTCGGATAGGAATGCATGATTCCCTGGGGGACAGAGGTGTGCAGGTTCTCGAGTCTCATTTGGGGCTTTGTCGCTTGACTGGTTATTCTCGGCCTCGTTCGTCTCTCATCAAGCCAGGCCTGGCCAGACTTGCCTTGGCTGTCTGTCTCGGCTGCAACGGCCATTCCGGTGCTCAGTGGCTGCTACAAGTGTCTGGTTTGGACATTCGGCCTCGACAATGGAAGGCTCGCTATTTGGGGTACGTACATCTACGGAGTACGGGGTAGCATGATGGCGAATCTCAACGACGGCACAGAGGGAGGCAGACAGACAGACGCCTTGGCCACTACTATACAGATGCCACATCTCCACGGTCCCCGCCAGCGCCGCACAGCTCAAGTGGATTGCGCCTTGGCCCTCGGCTCCTAGTGGCAGCCACTGGGGGCACTTTGTGGCCACTGGCCACGCTCAAGTGGTCAAGTGGGCAGTTTTGCCTAGGCAGTTGTACCACCGCCTACCTGGCCGCACGACCGCTTCGGCGCTCCTTCCCCGCGCTTCAGGGCGCTGCCGTGCCCGGCATGTCGTTCCGCCTGAGCTGCTCTTGCCTGGCGAGTAGTTCGATCCCAGCTCTCTATACCTACCACGTAGGTACCTAGGCACACCTAGGCAGGTACCCAGCTACTCGACTGGCTCGCTCTTGGCCTCTGAATTGCCCCGAATGCCCCTCCCCGCAGCCTCGAAAATTTCAGTGCCTCACGCGATCACTGACCAACCTGGTGCTCCGTACTTACTTCGTCACTCTCGTGTCGTTACAAAACGGGGACTGTCCCGACCTTGACTTTCACGCCCCAAGATCAACCCGGCTCGACACAATTCAACTCGCTCACTCCTCCATCTCCTTTCGCCTTTCCCCTTCACTTTTTTTTTTTTTTTTTTCCATTTCATACCCCCTTACTCCCTTCTCTTGCGGAATTCCAGCTTTGCCGAGACCAAGGACGAGGCCAAACCCACCCAGCAAGGCGCCCTTGTCGTCGTCGTAACTGGGCTTGTTGCGCTGGACGGTTTTCACCACTACCGGATGCCTGGATATTCGTTTCGTTGACCTCCGTCGTGCGCTGGCGCCACATTTGATGTTAAATCGCTGTTACCATGCCGTCCAGAACTGACAATGGTGTTGGGGTCCAGGTTGAAGACACAAAAATATGTGTGGTCATGGTTGGACTCCCAGCTCGGGGCAAAAGCTATATTGCACAAATTGGTAAGCTTTAAAGTTGCATGCAAACAGGGCCTTTCCTCATGGCCGGGCCGGGTGCCATGTATCTCAAACTCGGCCCCGAGATCATCCTCTGTCTCTGTCCTTTGCGTGCCCAGAATAAAGATGGTAATCATGGTTCCAATGCAATTCTGCCAGCTAACTCGGTCCCCCAGCTCAACGGTACTTGCAATGGCTGTCCATACCGGCACAGACGTTCAATGTCGGCAATTATCGGCGCAACGATGCGCCACAACCCACCGCTGACTTCTTTGACACCAACAACGCCGAGGGTGAGCGGAAGCGCCGTGCAGCCGCGGAAGCTGCCGTAGCTGACATGCTGGCTTGGTTCCGCACCGGCGGCGTTGTTGCGATACTAGATGCTACCAATTCTACCAAGGAGCGTCGAAAATGGGTCAGCGATGTTTGCACCCAGCACGGCATCGAAGTTCTATTCGTTGAAAGTAAATGTGACGACCAGGAAATCATCATGGCCAACATTCGCGATGTGAAAACCACCAGCCCGGACTATCGCGGCCAAGACCCCGAAGCTGCCGCACAGGACTTTCTCAATCGCATAAGCAATTATGAGAAGATTTATAAGACCATTGACCAGGACGGTGACGAAGACGAGTACACGTACCTCAAAATCATGAATATCGGAAAGCAAGTCATCATCAATCGCATTCAAGACTATCTTCAGAGTAGAATTGTCTACTACCTCATGAATCTACATATTCGTCCTCGTTCTGTCTGGCTGTCCCGGGTAGGTGGGCCCTGTTGACCAAACAACAAACCGCCCCATGATTTCCTCTTCCGAGTCCAACTAACACTTTCCTGTTTGTTTTTCCTTTTTTTAGCACGGCGAATCCATGTATAACCTGGACGGAAGGATTGGTGGGGATACCTTATTGTCACCGCGGGGCGAGCAATATGCCAGGAAACTTCCTGAGTTGGTGCGGGAATCTGTCGGGGTAAGCGTTTAATGAATGATCACTCTAAGCCATTGTGTTGTGCCACAGTCTCACAAATATTCCAAGGACGATCGACCTTTAACGGTTTGGACATCAACGCTAAAACGAACTATTGCTACCGCGCGCTTTCTTCCACTTCACTACAATCAGCTGCAGTGGAAAGCTCTGGATGAATTGGACTCGGGTGTTTGTGATGGGCTGACCTACCAAGAAATAAAGGACCGGTTCCCAGAAGATTTTGCTGCGCGTGACGAAGACAAGTATAATTACAGATACCGTGGTGGGGAATCCTACCGTGATGTTGTCATTCGCCTGGAGCCAATAATCATGGAGCTGGAAAGAAGTGAGGATATTCTCATCGTCACTCACCAAGCTGTCCTCCGATGCATTTACGCGTATTTCATGAAGAAGGACCAGGCTAAGAGCCCGTGGATGAATGTGCCGCTGCATACACTGATTAAGCTGACCCCAAGAGCTTATGGAACTGAAGAGGTCCGGTATGAGGCAAATATACCTGCTGTGAGCACCTGGCGCGGAAAGGGAAGCACAGCAAAACACGAGAACCCAACCCCCGAGAGTCTTTAGCGATGGATCACACTGTTCCCTCGTCCATACTGAAGCGACCAGCGTGCATCTTTTGGAGGATCAGAAATATAACACAACACAATCCCATGCGAATGGGATTAGATATGGGCAATAATAAAACATGGAAAGGTACTTATGAACAAAACTTGGCATGGCTCGGAACATGTTACTCTACTCCAATGACGATTGGTATTGAAAGGACAGATGACGAGGAAATGTATTAGTCTGGGCATTGACAAATGAATAGATGAACTGGCGGCGGGTCTTGAAAGACATGGCAAGGGACTTACTTGGCTTGATGCCACCGACTTATTTTGTGTTTATTTAGTTTACTTGGTCTGGACTCTGGATCGCGAGCGAGGTGTATCAGAGTATACATTGCATAATACCACCATGTCGAAGCGGCGCAAGGATTTATTCACACTACGGAGTAGGCATTCAATAAATCGTTTGGCTCTTGTACTTCTATAGAACCCTTTGCGTGCGCTGCGCATCAGTAGTGGTTCGTGTCCCAGCCGCTGTAGAGATATTTGCGAGGCCGCAGTTTTCTTTTCAGTGATGCGTTTGCAACGTCGGGCGAGGGTGATGATGAGTCTATGAAAGCCGATAGTGTATCACGGCAATCGAGTTGTATTGCGCACACCCTCTCGCTCTCTCTCATACACACACATTCATACACACATACACACATATATATACGGTAAACATTTCTTGACCAAAACATGACAAGATTTGTGCACACTTTTCACCGTTTACATCTGTTCGCCTTGCCCAGCTGCCACCGCGACCTTTCTCCAACTCAACCATTATTTACCTAGCACCATCTTCAGAAAAACAAGAATGTCGTTCTATTTCCAGCCCCCCGTCTTCGCCGTCCAGCCGACAACGTGCGTCCAACCGGTCGTCTGGGCGCCAGCTCCCGCAGTCGTACCCGCGTACTACACGACGGTGGTGCAGCCGGTGCCGGCCCCGGCCGTGGTGTACGCGACGCCGCCCGTCATCCAGGTATACACCGCACCACCCATGGTAAGTGCCGCCGCCGCCCTGCCTGAGAGCCAGCGCCCCGGTTTACGCGTCAGAATTATCTTCTACGGCCACGGGCCGGGGCGTGAAGCCCCGCGCAGCCTGTGGTGCCGCGCGGCGGACGCGACGTACCCCGGGGTACCGACGGGATCGCGGCTGAGGGACGACATTGCCCGCCTGGCGGAGCTTCAGAACCTGGCGCAGGGGTGGCGGCACGCCAGGATCGTCGTCGCGGCGCCGGGGTCGGCGGCACCGGTGATTGCCGCTGAGCTTGGGCCGGTCCTGAACGACGACGTGGTGCGCGTCTTGGAGCTGCAGAGGGACGCGGGGGCCGACGAGGATGCCGCAGACGCGGAGCGGAAGGGTGTTTTGCAGACGAGCCTGGCTGGCGGGCAGGGCGTCTTCTTGACCGTGTGTATGGACGACGAGCCTGGAGCAGGGCCGAGTGCTCCCTCGAGCTCGAGTGGTGGCCATGTCGGAGACGGTGACGCCGCGCCGTTGCTGAACGCAGATGTCTAGATACTATATATGAACAGCCCGGCCTTGAGGGCTACGTTGCGGCCACTGGGGAATATGAGCTGAAGTGTATGCCAAAACATAGTTTATGATTATAAGCACAGGAATAATGGCTAGAAACCGAATAGCACCAAGCTCATGCCCTTCATGAGCTACCTGGCTGAAGTGGTTTTATATCGTACAGAATGAATTGCAACAACGACTCCATTACCCCGATTAGCCCCCCCGCTCTCTCCATACAGGCGACCTTTGTTTAGACCAAATGCGCAGCCGCCTTTTTTCGTCTTCGTCGAGTGTCACCCCGTTCTCTCTGTTGGTGACTGAATCCTCTGTACAAGTCTGCCAAACACCAGACACCAAATTCCAACGAAACAACTCGCGACATTGAAATATAATAGAAACAACCCAGATCCAACACTCATCATGTCATGTGGCCACTACTACACACATGCTTCCCTTCCCTGCTTCGTAAAACTTGGACTCGACAAAAGCTGCGTGTGCTACATAGCACTACTTCTCGCTGGGTATCAGTCGAGCAAGCTACGTGGACAATGGCGCTGATCGTCTCGAGGTTGGAAAGACAAACGCCTGGCCCCAGACACTAGAAAAAACTAAAAAAAACTGCAGGGGATTTGAAATCAGGAAAAATCAAATCAAATCAAAAAAGCAAGTGTATGCTGGTCTTATCCCATCGACTCTCCTAAACCTGTAAACAAATTTGCCGGCCAAGAATCAACCGAGCACCGAAACAGACGCCACCATGCTGCATGAAAACGTAAAAGAGCATGAAGTATATGCGTGACCTTCCAGCAAGCTGTCAAAGTCAACACGGGGTAAATCTTATGAAGGATTTCCCTTAACGCGCTTCGGCATCCGAGGAGTAGGCGGTTTCCCTCTGCCTACGCCGTTGACCTGTGCACCACTTGTTGTTACCCCTCCAGAGCCGTCGTCTTCGGTTTTAACACCGGATGGGCGTCTGCGTTTGTTAGACGCTGGTGAGGTATTGGCGCTCGGTCCACTTGAGCTGGTTCCTTGCTGACTAGGTTGCAGCTGCATCCCTGGAGCTTGCATTTGTCCAGTAGCTGGGCTGCCAATATGTGGTGATCCAGGGAGATTCATGTGTGCTGCTGCTGGGCTTGCTCCCATAGGGAATTGGCCAAAGCTAGGTGTTCTAGGACCGCCTTGGGGTATCGGCTGACCATTGACCGCCTGAGCATTTCCATTGATGTAGGTTCCAACGTACTGCTCTAGTGCAGCATAGGGACCAACACCGGGGTTTCCCTGGCAGAATCCAAAGAGCGGGTTCATTTGACCCATGACTTCGACAATCTTTACACATTCTCAGATTAGCCATCAGGACTAAGGGCCTAGAAGAATGGCATCATGGTACGTGACTTACCTCGAGGAACTGATGTACCGCCTCAGTTACACCTTTGCTGTTGACAGCAGAGTCAGGGAGATCCACAAGGACTTCGGGTGGCTGGGTCTGAGGTGACTTGAGCTGCTTCGCCTTGCTCTTCTTCGACATCTCTGGAGAAGTTTTGCCATCCTGAGAGTTGACCTTGTGCCAATCTTTGATCCACATGTGAGCGGGTTTGGCGGCTTCTATGACCTGCTTTCTTGAGATGTATTCCTCATGTCCAGTGGTCACAAACTCAAAAAGTTCAATGCGTTGCTCATTGTCGAATTGTACCCGGAGTGTACCGGTAGCGACAAGCTGTCCTCACTTAGTTGTACATCCTCGGATCTAGTCTTGCAGCACAATGACTTACATGTGAACCGGCTTCAAACCAGTAGACCAGGCTAGCTCTTTGGTTCTCGATACAGTGACCGTCGCCAGGTAAAGGGCGATCGGTGAGCCCCTTGTCCATGATCAACTGCATGCTCCTGACGCCGCTGCTAAAATGCGTGTGAAAGTATCGGGCAATGGCCGGAAAAGCTATCTCATACTGCTTGTCGGTTGATTCATCGGCGTCATTTATCAATACTGAATGACGAAGGACGCCATTATTGGAGAAGAATCTTGAAACAAAGCCATTCCAGTACGTCAGGTCGTCCTTTGCCCTGGGTCCCTGCTGTCATCATTAGTTCCCCGTTGATATTGGATACGAGATAGCGATCATTATGGTGCGTGCCCGACTTACAGGAAACCCGCTCAAATGTTCAGAGAACTGCATCAACTTCAATAAGCACTGGCCCTTCAGATTCTCTCTTCGCTGCTGCTGATGGAAAAGGTTGTTCGATAAAGCCATGTGTTGCGCAGCGGCTGCCGTGGCAGCATTCATCTGTGGCTGCGCTGGACCAGCACCCTGCTGAGGTTGTGGTTGGCCAGGCTGTTGAGACTGATTTTGTGGTTGCTGCTGCTGCTGCTGCGGGTTTTGTAGCTGTTGCGGAGTCGGTTGTGATGGTGTAGGCGGCGCTGGCGTCTGAGCTGGCGTGTGTTGGCCACTGGGTGCCGGAGTGCCAGCTTGGGAGCCTTGCTGTGGTGTATGTTGGGATTGTGGTTGGCTAGACTGTTGTGGTTGTGGCTGCGGAGGTTGAGACTGAGGTTGAGGTTGAGGTTGAGGTTGCGGCTGCTGCTGCTGCTGTTGTGGTTGCGGTTGTCCTTGACCTGGTTGCCCGGTTTGTTGCGGCTGGCCCATCTGGTTCTGTCCAGCAGCACCCATTTGAGCTTGTTGCTGTTGTTGTACATTGGCTAAGCCCTGAGCATTCATTCCCATTGGTTGCCCTGCATTTCCAGGCATTTGCTGGCTCTGGGCGGCTTGCTGTTGCTGCTGTTGTTGTTGTTGCTGCTGTTGTTGTTGTTGCTGCTGCTGCTGCTGCTGTTGCTGTTGTTGCTGTTGCTGTTGCTGCTGCTGCTGCTGCTGCTGCTGAAGCGCCATGTGATGAGCCATGAGGGCTTGGGCTTGGGGATGCTGACCCTACAGCAAGAGAGTTAGTCTAACCGTGCTAACACGTCAATAAAGTATGATGGCAGTTCCCCTACAGGTCCCATTCTTCCGGATTGCCGAAGCTGTTGAAGCTGTTGCGGATTGAGTTGGCCTAGTTGCATCCCCATGGGCATCCCGTTGACGCCAACCGGCATGTTGCCTTGAATAGCCTGCTGGGCCATGAATGCCTGCCTCGCCTGTTGCTGCTGATGTTGGAGAATTTGTTGCTGGCGCATAGCAGCCATCGCGCTGGGGTTGTTGACTAGAGGCACAAAAATGGCAGAGTCAGACCATTGGAACAGTTCCAGGGGATATAGGGGACGGACTCGACTTACATTGATTCTGCAGCTGCTGTTGCTGCTGCTGGTGGAACATTTGCTGTTGAGCGGGAGTCAAGTGCTGTATTGCATGAGCATGAGGATTGGCACCTTGTGGCATGGCACCCATCAAGGCAGGGTTTACTTGTCCTCCTGGGCCTACGGCCATGTGAGCCCCGGCGAACTGCTGAGGCATTCCACCACCCGGTGCACCTTGTGCAGAGTTGGGAGGCATGCCAGGTCCCATGGGGTGACCGGCGACACCAGGATGTCCCATCGCAGCGGGATGCCCTGTGAAGTTTGGGCCCATGCTAGTTGCCATCATCTCCTTGCTATATAAAGCCGGCTACCCACGGCGTGGATATCGACGGGCGACTTCGGTGCACTATCGCATGCACATACGTCAGGCGTCGGCTTGGGGAGGTTGATGTCGAAGTGGGCGATGGACCAAGACCGGTGTCTGCAGGCAGGTATCGCGACGCGGATTGACAGCGGAGATGGGGATGGCCCGGCGGGAGACAGGCAAGATGGCGAGCAGACGGCGTCGGCGAGACAGAATCCGAGCAAGAGGAGAATGAATCAAGTGCGAGAATGATGGAAGCTGGATCGATGCGGAGTCGAAAGGGCCCAAACGTTGACGCAGGGCAGCGCGCAGTGATACACACAACGCTGACAGGGGACACAAGACGACAGACACCAAACACCAAACACCAGCGCGGGAAACAGGCTCGGAGACGAGAGGCTCGGCTCTGACGCGAGGGCCTGGCACCGCTGAGGTCTGCACTGGACAGAGGCGTCTGCCAGGTCGGCGAGGCAATGGATGGGCAGAGAGGATGCAGCGGCGATGAGCGACACGTCTTCTGGGCGCCGGGGCGGACGAGGGCGAAGAAGGGTCGAGGTCGGGACGCAACGCAGGACGCAGGACGCAGGACGGGGATCGTCGTTCTGGCTTCTCTCGACGTCCCGAAAGAGCTTTCGCAGAGAGAGTGAGAGAGAGAGGCGAAAGATGGGCCCAAGCAGCACTGGTCTGGTCAATAATATGGGGCGCGGCAGCCTCTGCTACCAAATGGCTGTGGCCTGGCCGCTGGCCGCCTCTGGTCAACTGGTCGTTTGTTTCGCGCGCTGCGCTTCGGCCGCTTCAGCGTCAGCCAAGCCCCGACGACGGCGGTGCAGAGCGCTTGACAGGAGCCGCTGGGTACAACGTACGATTTCCCGCCCTTGTTGGCTCGCAGCTTTTTGGGGTTGGGCGATGGCGCGGGATGATGCAAAAATGGTGTTGGAATGTGTGCAAGTGTGATGAGGGACCAACAATGTCGGGGGTCAACTGGTCGCAACCTCTCAACTCACACGGTCAGAACAAGCTAAGAGAGGCAAACTCGGACTGGTTGTTGATAACTAATGGGCGACATGGAGCAAGCCAACGAGAGCAGCAGAGACGGGCACCGAGACGGGCGTGCCATCTTCCCACAGTCGTACGTGCGAACATGGGAGTGGGAAGGGGAGGTGCAGCACCGAAGGGGTGACCCCACCCACAAGTGGAGACATGCAACTATCAGGGGTTCCGGATCGAGGGCTGTAAAAATAATTCCAACCACTCAGTATGGAACTGCAAGAGTTACATGCGCATTGTTTCTGTCTGCCAAGGCGATTGGCCGGGCAGGCCATGTCAAACCGGACTAGGCCGAAAGCAAATATCGCACAAAGCAGTCTATGCATATATCAAAGTCCGTGGCCTTGATCGCTGCAAGTTGGCACACACCAAGGCCGCAGTAGCTGAGGCAAAAAAAAAGGCTCGGCTAGCAAAAAAAAAGTATGCGCAGTTCGCAGAATCAAACGTGAGATTTTGGGACAGTCTTCACTTGTTTTTTGCACCTCTCTATTTTTCTCCTGCTTGCACAGAACTGCAGACCTGCTTGTCGCATGATATCTATGTACCGAGTATACCCAGCGCCACTATTTTTGGGTGCCGCCGCTAAAGTTCAACCTCCGAGTGGTCTCAATATCACGTGCTGGCGTACAGTGCGTAGCAGTGTTAAAAATTTGCTAGCACTGTTATCCAATATCTTCTTCCGCGACGCGATGCGAATCTGAAAATTTCCTTTCCACGCTCTCTCCTTCCATTTGCAACAAACACAGCTTCTGCCTTCTGCATGCGCGTCGATCACAAGCAATTTCATCGCTTTTGAGAACTGGGTGCAGTCCAACTCGAAGATGGAAAATAACAAGCTTTAAGTTGAGCTGTCGCTGGCGGGTTTTCCGTGCAAGAATTCACAAGCTGGGCTTTGGAACAATTGGGTGTGGGAGCTTGCAAACACCATTCAGCAATGCTAACAAGACATGCGCTCAGCCTCATATGCCTAGGTCAGTAAGCTCTCTCTCACTCCTGCATTTATCCGCCACTGCCCGCAACATCCCTTGGATGATGACACTGTTTGAAACGTCTTCTTTTCCCAACCGATTCGACCATGAAGAAGTTTAGTCTGTTCGGGCCCAAGGCCTGTTACTTGCCAGTATTTCCTGTCTGACTATCACTGTTTCACATTAACTCTTCGTACAGTTCGTTTGGACGCGTCGCTAATGTGTGTAATCAGATGCCTCTTCCCCGTTCCCAGGTCGAGTTGATAGCTTCCCCAGATTGACAATTCTCTGAAACGTGTGAGTACGACCCCTTTTAGTAATACACTGTAACGTTTTTTTCATGATGAAACTTTCCATTTCATTCGCAGTTTCCACTCGAGTCCCATTGAGCCTATTTTGGGACGGATGAGGGTTAATGATCTTCCTTGGATGTCTGAACTCCATCGTTACTCATTACTGTTGTTCACTACCATGCCCAATGAGCATCTAGCTAACGATAAGAAAACAGGCCTACATCCCCATTTTGGACACCCATACTGGTGCCTGTACTTGAATTCCACACTCGTAATAGTAACACTTTATCTAGTCAATATAATGTTTGACTTTTCTCTGCTGCCAACTGTTTGCCTCGTTATTTTCGTTCCATTTTGTGTTCTTGTAAAGTCCACGACTACCCAACGCCGACTCCATTGTTTCGCCAATACCAATACCTTGATGGCATCTGAGAGCGAACAATCCTGCACGCAACTCCGTTGTTCCCTGTCGCCCTGTCTAGCCTTGCATGTCATCATGTCATGATCCCCGTCCCTCGGTACCCGTTCAAGCAACCCGTAATTCTTCCCTTCCTTCATCACGTCGTACCCTACCGCCCACAATACCTCTACGGTTTCTCCCTGTTCTCCCTCTGCCCAACCAATTCAGCTTGAGCATTTTACACAGCTCCTCAATCTTCTTGCTCCCCTCGTCGTCGGCATCGTCCCCGCCAATACTAGACAAGACGCTCATGCACTGCAACATCCGGCCCACCATGTCCGTCAGTTGCTTCGAGTCTTCCACGTTCTGCTCTCGAACACTGCTAAGTGCAGGCAAGCCGGACGGGGTAAAGGGGCGAATGGCACCAGCGCTGTCGCTGCCGTGACTGCCAAAACTGACGTTGCTGACCGCACGACTTCTTCCTCGCTCTGAACCCTCGCCGAGCAAAGTGGTGCTTGTAGAGTTGAAACTACCAACCAAAGGATCCACCGAAGTGGCTGTCCCGGGGCGAATTATGAAGGATTGCGACTCGGCCGGCGATGTCGATAGCATTCTTTCCAGAGGCGGAGAAGCCAACGCCATGTGCGCAAACGATGACGGCAGAAATTCGAGGGACAGGCGAGAGAATATGGTCTTGAGAGTGTCATATCGAGGGAGAACAACAATGTCACGGTACGCTGTAAGAACGAGTCTTCTTACATCCAGCACAGCTGCAGCCGGCGCATCGCCTGCGGGTTTATTCGAAGATGACGGAGATGCAACGACACCACCCCAAAAGTCTCGAGCTTGCTCAGGCGTCATGATGACCCCGCAGCCAGAGACCTCCAGGTCCAGAGGTAGGAAGACTGACTGCATGTACGGCAAGATGGATGTGAATGTGAACATCCAGAGTTCCACCACTGTCGGGATGAACTGGTCTTCGGGTGTCAAGCGCAGGGTCCTGTCTAGTATTGAAAACCCTGTTGTCAATAAATCTCGCAAGTCGTCCACCATGGAACTAGGCGATCTTTTGTGAATACACCACTGGATATGTGTCTGAACCACCCGGTTGAAGTCCTCAACGGGGAGACGAAGATCTTCGCCCTCAAAAACGACAAGCAGCTTTGATTTCAAGTAGGGCCAGGCTTCGTCAAGAGCCAGATTATTCTGGCTAACGGCCTTCCCAGGCTCTGCCACATCGTACAAGGTTGACTGCTGTGATAAAGGAGGCAATCCTGATGATGTAGACCAATCACCGGCCAAGTTGAAGGTCGATTCGCTGTCTAATCGACCGTCCGACTTCTCGCCAAGTTTCTTGTCCTTCTTTCCTTTCGAAAATGTTGAAGTGCCTGGTCCTGGGCTGGCAGGAACGTTGAAATTGTACAGGCTGCTGGGTGCATTTGGATCTGTCGGTTTAGAGTTACTTGAAGCTGAAGATAGAGGCAAGTGGTATTCGTCCTTTAGTTTTTGCTTTTGGCGAGATAGAAAATGGTGGTGTTTCTTCTCTTTTTCCTTGACCTTTTCTTCCGAGAATACCTCGATGGGTCTGATGGTAGCAGAGGATGAGTTGTTAAGGCTATACAGCGATTGGGTAGGCGGGTCTACAAGGCTGCTGGTGCTGAAGTTGCCTCGTTGCAATGCAGACAAGGCGCTCCCTATCTTGCCAGGGCTTTGAAGATTCTTGTCCTTGGCCTCACCTTTGCTGCTGCTACTCTTCCCTGGCCTTGAAAACAGCTTGTGCTTTGATTTCTCTGCCTTTGATTTCTCAGGAATGGTAGCGGGGAGTGGTGGGACAGGCGGGAAGGGCGGGAAAGGCTGCGGAGAAATCGACTTTTCTCGTGGAGAGTTGTGTCCGGACCGTGGAAATACAACATTTGCGGCCGCTGTAGCGGCTGACGAGTGAGACCCAGCAGCTTTATCGTAATGCTGGCCGCCGTGCGCAACGAAAGCAGAATCTCGAGGTGCACTCGCCTCGGTGAGACTCAAAATAGGCGGACTAAGCGGCACCTTGGATCCGCTGCCACGCCGCACACCATCTGCGCCTTCACCGGGAAACGGCACAGTCTGTGACCGCTGGCGAACATGAGAGGTGTTTTGATGCGACATAACCGCGGCCTGGGCGGCAATCTGGCTAGCTGATAGCGATCCGGTCGACGTTGCCGCTGCCGCTGCCGCCGCCGCCGCCTGACCTGCCGCGGCGCTCATGCTAACGTGAGAGAG